CWMWRAARKASYSTYRGWRKACCSTTAGTTTCATTGTCATGAAATTTTCTGATGGTTTTTCTGAACGTACTCAAGGGACRCTGGGCCCRGYTCCCAGCTCGTGCCAATTTGAGAGGATATGGTTGTATCTATGGGATGCTGGACCCGGTTTCCAGCAGGTGCTGCTCCCCACCAATAGATGGAGCGCGTGTGCTTAAAAAAAAAAAAAAAAAAAGAAAGGACACTAATGAGCAAATCAGAAGGGGGACAGGAGGGGAACGGGTAAACAGAGTAGGACGACAGTTGGAAACAAGGGGGGGCGAATGGTGGTGGGAAGGATGGCACAAAGGATGAATGGATGCATGCAAATATTTTTTGCCCAGGTGAGGTGCAAGGGGGGGCAATCAACTACTTCACGCCACTATCCATCCAACAACCTTGTCCAGTGCGAGCAATAACACGCAGGGAAGCCGAAGAAGGAAGACACCGAGGAATTTCACGGGAAAGAAAATGAAAGCATTTTAAAATTTTGATGTAGTTCCCATACCAGAATTCTGTCATATCTACTCAACCCCTGTGCGGAGGAGACACAACTGCACCTTTCTCTCTTTCTTTCATAATCCCTGTGGGTATCTTGATGCTATCCCACTGTGAGGCTCCAGGCCTTGCCAGGCTTCCACTGGGGGGCGCGAAGAAATATTCGGCCCAGCCCTAAGTGAACGCCGGTGCAGAAAAGGGTCTGCCAGCGCTATGTGAAGGCTGGCGTGAGGCAGTTGGAAGGAAGGCTGGGCACAGCCTCTCCAGCTAACTGGTGGGCCCAGCCTCCCAGTTATAGTTCCAGAGACTGAGTCCCATCCCAAAGGTTCTCAGCCAGCCTCCCAGTTATAGTTCCAGAGACTGAGTCCCAGGTACCCAGTCCCAAAGGTTCTCAGACTGGGAAGCGGCCCGTCCCAGCCAGGCAATTGCGGCCTATAAAAAGGAAGCAAAAAAGAGGAAGGAGGCTGCAGCATTCCACACATTCAGAGGCGCTGGCTGAGAGTGGTAGCAAAGCCACTTGAAGCACAGACAGGGCTATAGGCAGCCATCAGTCACTATAGGTCACAAGCACTGTCACTATGTGGTCCCCTACACCATATAGCCCAATTGAAGCACAGACAGGACGAGGCCCCCGCCCTGGGTAATTCGACTGCTAGGTGCTATCATTATCCCACAAGCCCACCTGGCAGTCAATCCTCTTCACTGGCTGATTTAACAAAAAAAAAAAATTAAAAAGAATCCACCAAGGGTAATCAATATTGGTGGTGGTTTCTCTCTGTTATGCATGCCCTCTCCAACCCCCTCCCCAACCCCCCCCCTCCCCCCGGCCCCTGGTGAGTCATATGGTACTGTGAGGTGTAAAAAAGTGAAGTGTCAGAGTTGGTCAGGTATACTATATGGGCCTCACGCCAGTACACAACACTCTGCATGTATCTGGAGCTTGTAATTGTCCCCATACATGTAAATCATACTAAAATGTTCCAAGTCCATTGTTTAGTGCTCTGTACAATTGAGCTACAGCTTACCAGCACATTCTGAGGTCCCTTTCGTCTAGGGTTATAGGATATCATTTTTTCGTGGCAAAGACACGGGTTCACTCGTCGGAATGCACCTGGTCCAGAAAGCTTCCAAATGCATGTAGAGTGTTGAGTAGTGGAGCGAGGCCCTATGACTTGCCGGTGGAAAAGGAGTTCTGCTTAGCGGGGTGATAAGAGCAGCCCGCTAATCAGAACCCTGTTTCTGAAGGCTCCATCCATCTATTGGTGAGGAGCAGCACCTGCTGGAAATGGGGTCCAGTGTCCCTGTATAACATCAGTTTGGCCATCACATTTGTACTCAGCTTTAACTGCTGCAGCGTTCGATGTGAGCTGTTCCAAGTGAATTGTCATACCACCCTGCATCCTTTTGATCTGCCGTGCGTCGGTCTCCCTACCCAGCCGCACCCATCCTGGTCCTGCTTAGCCTTCCCTACATCTAATGATTGCTAAACCCCTGCTAAACCCCTGCTAACCCCCTGCTAAACCCCTGCTAAACCCCTGCTAAACCCCTGCTAAACCTTCTCGAGTGTCCCATGGCCCCTGTAGTTGAGAGACAGATCAGTTTTGCTACCGTAGCCGAAGGCCTGCGTGGTGGGGTCCCTTGGGAACTTGGACCCTGGCGGCCGTGCACTCCTGTTGCTTGATCCTGTACCAATGGAGTTGAGCTGCTGCCTTCAGGTAATTGCCTGCGCAGGTCCCTCATCTTTCCAGGCTCGACCTCCGGGAGGCCGGCGGCGGCTCTTTTTTTTTTGGCGCACAGCACGTTTCCAGCCCCTGTGAAAAATGCCTCGGAAGTGCTGGTGGTTTAAAAACAAGAAAAATAACTTTTAAAACTTTAAAGAAGTAAATTATTAATCAACCTGACGGCAGTACCTGTCCCTATACCAGACATAGATGGATGTGTATATGGCAGGGTAAAATGTGGACTGGTTTATTAAACTTTATTTGCTTTTTTTTTTTTGTTTGTTTGTTGAAAAACCGGTCTTCTTGCTAGGACCTAGCGAGAATCCCGGATGCTCCAGTCTATTGGTGGGGAGCGGCACCTGCTGGAAAAAGGGTCCAGTGTCCCTTTACAGCAAGAACCTGCCAGCATTGATTGCCCTGTTATCGGGGATTAACTGTGCAGGTATTCGGATCGTTAAAAAGTAATAAAAACAAAGAATGACACTCTTGGGCATGGAGCCAGCCGCCTCTTCGGCCTGAGCCTGGCCACCAGATGAATCTCATCACCCGTCTTCCTTTCCAAAGGTAACCTGCACGGTGAGACTGCCCGCTTATCCCAAGCTCGGTCGCCCCCCAATAAATCAGCTTGTCTGCTGGTCCTACTTACTCTGCTTCATACCATTGCATGTGCACCACGGTCAGCAGATGGGGCGGGAAGGGATCCGGAAAATCCGAAGGTGGCCGCAGCAGGATCTCCTGGGCCCTGGCCCACCAATCCCAGAAACAGATACAATAGTCTCTCTTGAACATCCCCTGGTTGCATTCCTGAGTGCCGTGGTTGCCTTCCTGGGCGTGGACGCCATCCCATCTGATGAAGGCGATCCGGCCCCCGTTCACACAGCCCAATTAGTCCCCTGAGAATTGTTGGATTGTTTGTATTATATCCTTCTATGAATGAAACAGATCCAATTGGTTTTTAACTTTCTGCCATTGTACCATGAAGATCTTGATGTATATATTGGTTTTATCATGTCCGTCCTCTCTTCCCGCGCTATGCGGACTACCTCCATAACATGTATGCAGCATCTCCTCCAGAGGGCGGGCCCACATAACAGCTCTCCTCCCTATCTTTTTTTTTTTCTTTTTTTTTGTCTTTTAACAGGTCTCCTCCCTATCTTAAACATACTGTTTGCAAAAGTACTGCCCGAGGGGGAGGCCCATGCCTCAGCGAGTTGGTGTCTTGGCTTTTAGCCACACGCAAGTCGTTGAAAAAACACATTGTCAACTTGTCAGTCTATTTTTTTTCTACCCCCCATTTAAAAATCATGGTGACTGTCTGTTGTCCAGGGGGGATAACCATGTGGCCAGTCTGGTAAGCATAGGTCCAAAAAAAAAAAAAAAAAAAAAAAAAAAGTATAGGTGCTTTTTTGGAAAACTTTTCCTTTTTTCTTTTTTTCTTGATAGGCATAGGTGCACTCGTGTCGAGCCGCAACGCATTTATTCTGTCAAGGTGCCAGATAAGGTGATAAAGTGCACTGAACGTCAGGGGTTTCGGGCTGCATTCCTCGTTTGCAGGTGAATCCCTTCTATTTGCTGCTAGTTTTGGGAACACTCCAGAATCATGGCAGAGGAGGGGGAGACAGAGGTGGAGGTTTCTGCCATTGTGTGTGACAACGGCTCGGGCATGGTCAAGGCTGGATTTGCTGGTGAGGAGGCCCCTCGTGTTGTTTTCCCAAGCGTTGTCGTCCAATCTAAAGATGGTACAGAAGAAAGTTTTAGGGTTGGTATGGATCTGAAGAGCATATTTGCCGAATCCAGCGATGAAGCTCAGTCCGAGCAGGGGGGTATTGAACTTCAGTACCCTATTAAGAATGGGATTGTAACTGATTTTGATCTGATGGAGAAGATTTGGCGTCACACTTTCTACGACGAATTGCACGTTGAGCCACAAGACCATCCAGTGCTATTGACGGAGTCACCGCTTAATCCGAGAGCCCATCGCGAGAAGATGATAGAGATCATGTTTGAGACCTTCAGTGTTCCTGCGGCGTACATGTCGATCCAGGCCGTCCTGTCCCTGTACTCGACGTGTCGTATGACGGGCATTGTGGTCGACTGCGGCGATGGTGTCACACACACGGCCCCCATCTTTGAGGGTTATTCTCTGCCTCATGCGGTCCTTCGTCTCAATATCGGAGGCCGTGACTTGACCGATTACATGCGGACCATGCTTGCTGATAGAGGCTATTCCTTCAACAGCCGGCTGGAGTTCGAAATTGCCCGTGCCATCAAGGAAAAGCTTTGCTATGTTGCCCTTGATTTTCAGCGGGAGCAAGACCCCGCCGAGGAAAAGCTTGGCCAAAGCCATCGTGGCGAATCCTCCTCGGCGGAGAAAACCTACGAACTTCCAGATGGCAACGTCGTTTCCATCGGAAGCGAACGATTCCGATGCCCCGAAGCCCTCTTCAATCCTAGTTTGATTGGGATGGAATGCCCCGGTATCCACAAAACCACCTTCACCTCCATCACGAAGTGCGACGTGGACATCAAGAGGGTGATGTACGAAAATGTTCTGCTCACCGGCGGATCCACAATGTTCCCCGGCATGCTAGAACGTATCAGCAAGGAGCTCACGTCGATGCTTCCTAGTACCAGTACCATCAAGGAGGTGAAGGTGGATGCTCCTGCGAACCGCAAGTACAGTGTGTGGGTAGGTGGTTCTGTGTTGGCATCTCTAAACACGTTCCAACACTTGTGGATCACTGAAGAGGAGTATCGCGAGTCCGGACCTTCCATTGTTCACAGGAGGTGCGTCTGAATTGTGTGGGGTGATTGGAAAAAAAATCTCCCAAGTTTCTGCGTGTGTGGGGCTCGCAAGTTTGCTATCTTCATGGCAACATCTCTCTCCGTGCTTGGGGGTTCGGATTTTGTGCAAAAGCAGTGCGGACCCCGTATCCATCCTCCTTTGCTGTCATCTGCAGCGTTCGGCTTGTGAGTCTTGCGGACTATCGCATTCCCCCGAACACAACGCACCCTCATCATGGGCGTACGGGACCGGAAAGATAGCTTGTATACATTCATTATCAGGGTGCGTTGGGCTCAGGGGAAGACGGTCGCACTCAGAATCAGACTGGCTTGTGAGTCCCGGGGACTCGTAGCAGTCTTATTCGGACTAGGAGCGTAGGAAGGGTGGGTCAGCAGAAGAGGTACCTTTTCCTTGTTGGCCTGTGGCTTTTCATTATCATGATGACCGATTGACCTCTGTGGGTGTAGTATTGCACTAGTACCCTAGAATAGTAGTGGGTGTCGTACTCTTGCACGAATAATACCCTACAACAATAAAGGCATAGAGAGGACATATAACTGTCTACGTGACAGATCTATTCTTCTGGCTTGTCCGGTACTATGTTCTTGAGCAGGAGCTGAAGCATTTGCTATGCAGCTCCTTCAGCTCTTGCAGAGACATACGCTGGTCTGACGCAAATAATGACTTCAACAAGCGACAGCATGGACTATAGTCGCTACACCATAGGTCACCTTTTTTTTTTTTTTTTTTTTTTTTTTTACCTACAGCACTGCTGTAAATGGCTAATAACTTAATAAGCCATAATCAAATGTAGTGAAAAAGAAATCCATTCGTGTTTTTTTTTTTTTTTTTTGGAAAGGGTAATGGCCTTGAATCCCTTGATATGTCATCATTGAAGTTGATTTAACTGTACCGGGTCATTATCCCAGCTTAGTGCACAATCTGTTCGGTGACAAACTTAGCAGCAATGATTACGTCCTGCTGAGTCTCCACCGACGGAAAGTGTTGGAGTTCGATGTTTACATCCATTGTCATGCTGTCAAAGAGCAGTTGAGGATGCACCTCCACCCTTCCCCCATCTCCTTTGCGGGAGGCACTGCATGTTGATGTCAGGTTTTCTTGTTCTTGTCCCACAGTGATTGTTCTTCACCGTACCCTAAGGTGGAATAGGTGACCACATTCATTCACACTGAGGTGCAATAGGTCTTTTCTAACACTGCCCTAACTCCTCTAGGATTTTGCTAGTGGCATGGAATGAGG